AAAGTTATTTTAGCGAAAGATACAGTCAGATCTTACCCTTGTATTATTTTTGTAATAGGTAGTGTGTCCTTCAAATTTTAAAGTGAAAGAAAAGGTCGTCAGTTTTAGAAATGTATTAATTATCAAAATGGTTGGAGAACTACACACCATTTAATTTGAAGTAAGAGGTTCTAGGCTGTAAATTTCGAATAGTATGTGTGTAAGGCACATTGTATATTGTTCCAGGCTTTTAACAAATTAAGCCTGAACATTCACCACGTTTTCACTTTCAAACGAGCACTAATATACATGCCGACACTTTATGCTCTTAAAATACCTCACATTTGTGAGCCCATTACCTGAAAGCCTTATTTTTGCTGAGAACGCACTTTAAAGAAAACTTTCTAGACAAGAAAATGAACACACGCAAGGACACTGGCGTGCAAGCCTTTTATTACCTACGCTTGAATACGTTAAGGCGTCTAAAATTAGAAACAACTCTCATACCATTTAATTAAACGTTTTGTTAATGTGGTTTTTGGGAGTTATCGACAAAAGATGCCTTAAATATCAACATCCCGGCGCTTTTAAATATACTAAAATTATATTATATGCTAATAGATATTTAGATCCCGTGCACGCCATTCATCGTAAGCATAATCCCATTTTGAATTTATATTTATGAGTTTCATCACCTACTTTGTGTACACAATGAGTCCTTTAGGAGAATCGACAGAGATATTTTATTAATGTTTGCCAGTCACTAGTTATTTTAGGTTAGTTTGTAATGCACACACCGATCAACGACATACCATTACGTTTTTTTCTAAACAGATGTAAAGAGGTAACCATAATAAGTCAGTTGTGACAATTTTTAAATAAATTGGGTTCTCTAAGCGGCTTTGCTCGACATAAGATCTTGCCAGGTGATCTTGAAAAACTACCTAGAATGCTTAGAAATAATGCGAGACTAGGGTAAAATCTGCAAGCACAACCACATTTGTCCCCAATCCGGCTGGGATATCAGGCACTTATATGGCTTCCATGTGGTCTTGCAAACTGCAGAACTGAAAATATCGTGGCCGTCAACGTTGCTAACAGAAACTGGAGGCTCTGTGGTTCCCTTGGGGGGAAACGGAGAGGGGAGGCAAACCTGCTTTTTCCGGCTTCCACCCACACACCTTAGGCTTCTTCTGAAGAAGACGAGGACTGGGCGTTGGCTGGTCCTCGGCCTATATTCAGGCCGGATTTCATGCACCAGCGGGCAAAGCGTCGCAAGACTGGCTAATATGATAGTGAAGAGGCGCTTAAGTAGGCTATGACCAAAACAGGTGGAGCGGGAAAACAGATGGCGAGAATTCATCGTAGAACAGCAAGAAAGAGAGAGGAGAAAGGAGAAAGAGTCTGACTATGGTGGAAATGGTGGCGACGATACCGAACCGAGCCAGCAAGGATATTAGGAACGCATTGAAGGGACAAGGGGGGCTACAGGCGAGTAGTGCAGCCAAGATGAATGAATCCACAAAAATAAGACATTCGGAAAAAAGAAAAAGTTCTTACGTTTAGACTTCTCTGAAATACGTGACATGTTAAGCATAAGTGTTGCATTTATTTAAACGCAAAGTGAAATTACAACATAGATAGGAAAGGAACGTGACCCAAAATTGATTTTTACTTTTTAGCCTATTGCCAATGAATGAGCAGATTTCCAGCCAATTAAATTAAATATGGGCAGAAAATGGCTTAAGCATATTTTTCCTGTGGATTGTCGGTATCTGTATGAGTTCAGTCTCAATTTTCTTATAAAAAAGAAATAAATATGCACATATTGTGTTCAAATGGGAAATAACTGTGCCTGTAGCAGGATCTATTTATCGCATGCCTCGAAGTTAGCAAACGTTAAGCAACACATATTCCTATATTCCCCTATGGAATAGCCTCACGGTGTTCATGCATTGTTATCCCCGTTTTCCACTTGGCCGCCGTAAGTGAAAACTCTGACAAATAATGCCAACGACAGGCAAATTTCTATGACTAAAATCGTTTAAATACCAGAATACTTTCTTCCAGCACCAAATTTAAAAATGCGATGCTGTATAGAACTACCACAAAAAATTGCATTGCCATTCTTGCTGAACTAAGACTTAATTTGCACAAGCCCCGATATCTTACGTAAAACAAGTGCATACAGTAAGTCAGGTATTTTTTCCAAGGCTGCTTTGTAGTTGTGACTAGAGAGGCATCAAGTCGAGGGGCAAGATGTCACCCTGTATGTGTTAATGTTGATGATATTTAATGCCGCATACAGTTGCATCCCCGGGTTTTCGGAATTTTCTTTCCCCGCTTTACGTATAACATGTCTAATAAATTTTAATCAGCAAAGCACACTACTGTGGTGAGCGGTAGGAACATTTTTAATAACTTTAAGCATGAGGTCTTTTCTTACGTCTTCCCACACAACTGCGGAGTTATGGTTGGTTAGCAGATCTTCCAACTTTTGTTATATAATTGTAAATTCCAGTTATAATACGTTTTATAGACTTAAAATTGATTAATAGTCAGAATCTGATTAGCAGCTTGCGCAATTAACCAGAATACTCTGACCCCGATCTACTTTGCTTTTTCGTTATGGCAGGAGAATAACTAGTCCCATTGTATGAAAGGTTCACTTGCACGAAATACAAGAAGGGACTGAAGGGTTAGGATTAGATTTATACTCAAGTAGGTGTAAGAAAAATTACTTATAGAACTAGAGTTAGGTTCAGCGTTTAGGTTTATGTTAGAAAATGAAAGAGAGAGAGATGCACACTTATTGCTTTGACCAATTGGACTAACCACAACATGCACACTTTACCCGTGCGTGGATTGACTTTTTTGGCTTACGAATTCACTTAAAATGTGAAACTAACGAAATGTTCCATGGTATTATGCTTAACCATGCTCGCTCCACTGCCGTAATATAAGTCGAAGTGTATGATACTGTGAACAACGTCAATGCATTGTTTGCAAAAAGTTCAAGCACTCTATTCATGTTGATGAAAAAAAAATTTTTGGCCAGCCCCTGTAGTGAAAAAAATAATTTATTTACCTTCAGTGACCCTCTTGAGAAATAAAATACGCAAAAATTCTTAAAAAAATTGAAGGGTTTGTTATATTGACTGGGTTAATTTAGTGGAGTCACTGCTGTAAATGACAAAATACTCATCAGACTCCAAAAAGAATGGATATTCATGCTGCCTGCTGATACACCCCAGACTTGTCGCACACTGTTCAGCTATTTTGAGTAACTGTGTTAAAAGGATCAAGCGATGAAGCCTTTAGACTGCAATAGCATCAGTAGGGATCCGCAACCAGGTCAGTATACAGAGAATTCCATTATCCACTATCCATTATTCCACTATCCAATATTTCTTAATTTAAATTCCTAGAGATGCCAGATTTCATGGTTACTCCCCGAAATTGGATATAACGCCAGTCGTGCTTTAAAATAGTTTTACTTTGATAGTTATTTAACAAGGATCACGTGGTGTACACCCGAAATAGCATTTGTCTGGGTATTATTGTGCGGATTTACTTAAAAGTCTTTATTCATTTCGCACGATGTGCCATACCCAGCTAATCTTACACTATATACCCTACTGAGGGGCAAGTTGAGTTTCGTTATTTTAACGATTTTGTTTCGAAGCAACGTTTGAAATTTTAACGCCATATATGCACTATTTTCGTTACTTTATATACCGTTTTACTCGGTGGCTCTGAGCGAGCTGTTGTGGGGTTTATTTTAAAAACAACGGTCAGCACCAGAAAAATAAATGTTACAAGGAAGAAGACACACATAAATCTGTTGACTTGAACGAGTAACGATAACTTCAAATAACCGACAAGTAACCTGGCGATCAACCATTACATTTATGCGCTCGGCCAAGTGAGCTTTCAGATGAGCAGACCAGTAGTTGATCCACACTTCACAATATGCGTCCTACAAACATATAATAAGATGGAGTTCTTTCCAACAGCTTAGAATCCTCTCGCACAGCAGGTCCTTTTTCACTTTAACCGGTGGAAACAATCTCAATTCTCACATGCTGTAAAAACAATTCATAGCTCTCACAGTCGATATGAGGTTGTGATTTCAAAGTTCAAATTCTAAGTAAGCAAAACAACGCGTATTGAATCAGAATTACTTATATTTGCATGAACTGTGGAACGCCGGCTATAGTAAAGCTTTCCCAGCAACGGGCCACGGGAGCTCTGATAATCTACTCGTGGTGGAATGCTAATCGGACACTTAGGTCGCGCAGTTCACGAGGTGAAGTACGGGCTCAAGTACTGTGGGCGACCATTGAGGATATTTGGTTGTACAAAAGTTTCGCGTAGACTAAGCTATGGAGATATTTCCTCGTGGCTAAAACCTCGGGATATTATAGGAGAGCCGGAATAGTTTGGATGGAGAATCTAAGAATTAGCAAAACGCAAAATCAACGGTTAAGGCGCAGACTGCCCAATCAAACGTTGAATTTAATATACACTTTCTATTTGCCTAATTAAGTGAGTCATAGCCGAAAAAGGCCAGGAATGATTAGGCGGCAGCTGCTAGCTAGATTTTAAAATTGGTCAGTAAATCACACATTTGTAATTTAAGATTATCCGTACCGGTGGTGGTCGGAAGGGCCACTTAGGTTCTGTTATTCGAGAAGTGTATGTAAACTGAAAAATGTCGAAAGCACTAAGAAACAGCCTTATGGCGCAGACCAAAACTCCCAACAATCAGGAAATAGCCTGAAGTTACATGAACTCACGAAAGAAGTGTCATGCATAAAATTACCTTGTATTGAAATAATTTTTCCCAGGAAAATATGAAATCCCCAAAGTTTGAAAATTTGTAACAAATGAACGCTGTAAATTATTTTACTTTCTCAAGTAGTGCTCTCTCAGTAAATTTTTTATGGATATGATGGTTTTAAATGTATTTCTAGACTCAACCAATCACAAAACCGAATGGTCGAAGGAAATCGAGTTTCATGGCCCAGGTATGCAAATAAGATGTTTTAGATTAGTAAGAAAGCGTTCTTTAATTAGGGGCCTCTTTAAGAAGCTTAACTTGAATATTTTGCAGGCGAAGGTTCGCGTACTTCATACTGGTTCAAAGTAAAGTGCGGAAAATAGAGCGGTTCTCCTACTCATACACACTCCTGAGGGATACTGACAATTTTTACGAAGAAAGCGAGTTAAATCACGTCTTTTTTATATTTATATCACATTATGTATATTATAGTACTTATAACTTACGTCCTTATAGTATAAGGTTAACCAAACATTGAATGATTCGTCGGTTTTCCTCATTAGTTATATACGGTTAAACGAAATAATGCGCAAAAGTATAATACCAACCACTTAAAACTTTAAACATTTGCCTAATGTTGGCTTTTTCACAGACATTTATGTAAAATTGGCCTATAATAGGAAAATATGAGTACATTGGAACAAAGGATCGCCTGAGAAGGTTATTGCGGTTTCAGGGCGAACACCACATGGATAGATGGCCTAGACTTTTCGTTAAAATATGTATAGATATTTTGGCAAATAAAGTGTTTATTCACATTTTGCTTCGCCTAACTTAAACGGATCATATAGTATACTTTTAAAAGGTCGATGTTTTTGGTCACTTTTTCCAGTTAGATTGATGTTTCTGCTAGAAAAAAACACTGATGCATAAATATAATATATCGCCAAAATTTAGAGTAACCAGGACTTCAGCCACAAGTAGCAAGATTGGTTAGGATATAAAACCGCTTCGAACTGTAGTGAGCATGGAAGAAGACATTTTGGATTGCATTATACAAAAAAGTAGAATGCAAGACGTTGGAGCTGCCCCGAAATGATTATAAAAATTTTGGTCATCACGCTTTACGAGTAACGACGCCTTGTGTATATCAGTCGGGAGTATTCCAACGAAATAACATGATCCATTTTAAAGAGGGTGTGAGGTTTAAGTTCAGACCAAATGACGATAAAAAATACTTGATTAATCATACAAATAGCCAATCAGGTTCACTTGAAAAAAAACCCAAACTTTCTAGTAAGCACTGATCTCACGGGCTTCTGAAGAGGACGAAATCCTCTCCAGGAAAATTGTACAAAATCACTCTTCAGGCTTATGTTTAAAATACTGACAAAAATGAAAACGACTGTAAGAGTGATATGATCAGTCTAAAGACCGTCAAAAGTAGATTAGAATTCTCCTAACAAAAACAACTCCGTTTTCAGTTCTTAAAAGTACTGCAGTTCCGTTTTCCTAATGTTTTTTTAATATGACAGCACATTTATAGATTGCTGCGTCTGGCTCAGACCTTACAGGTGCATTGAAACGCGGGAGCTCGCCTTTGCGGTTTGTGTAGATGCCAAGTCAATGGCCTGGTTTTCTGAAAGATCTTCTACCTCAAGCCAGCCTCATTCAGAGCCCACATTTTGTTAACTAAACTTCCCTCCTGGGGCACATCACCTTATCCCTCCACCCATTTTGCTTTTAGAAGCCTGATTTCTACTGGACGTCGAAGCAACGTGGTATGGTGGACAGTTCTTTCTTTTACGGTTACATGATAACTCAAATTCCCGGCGGAGTGATTGCATCAAAGTTCCCCGCAAACAAACTTTTCGGTATTGCCGTTGGTGGCAGTGCTCTGGTGAATCTTTTCGTGCCAGCCTTCTGCAGAATGCACTACGGAGCCGTCATATTCCTGCGCATCGTACAGGGTCTCGTAGAGGTTTGTTTAACCTGTTTACACGGAAAAATGTCATTATTTATTGCTTAAAGTGTTTATGTATATCACATGTATCATCTTTCAAATAAGATGAAGAATGGTAGGTGACTTCGTAGACTGATTAGCGTTTGTGCTGCCGTCTCTGAACCATTTTGGTCTTCGTCGTCTCTTGGAGTCGATCAATATCGATACGCGTTTAAAGGATAAAACATTATCTGGAGAATGGTTAATTTGGAGCGTACGTTTTTGAGATTAGGTTCGCAGTTCATTGTCAAAATACTGGTTCTGGCTCTGGCTAACCAGAGAATACTGTTGGAATACTGTTGGACATACTTAAGTGCATAGAATTTTGATAAGTGATCAAGACGTAACCTTTTAGATTTGTAATGAACATTTGAGTCGTACAAAATCAATTACCATACACTAACTATGCAATGCCCATTCTAAAAACCAATAAGTATCAGTTTGTTGATGTTAAACATAAAGCCTTTGAGCTCCCTATCGGTAACCACAAACTAGTACTACAATTTGTATGAATTTGATAAAACAATGGCGTTATACATATATATGGACGTAGGGCGTTCACAGATCTATCTGGTTAGGAAACGTACTCGTTCTGTTGTGCTTGAAAACTTGTTTTTGAGAAATTGCAGGCAGCCGTATAGCAACTTCTAAAATATGACACGACTGTCTGCGATTGCTCCAAAACAAGATCCCATGCACAACAGGACGAGTATGTTTCCGAACCAGGTAGATCGATGAGCGCCCTCTTTCCATTATATTGCCGACAAAGGCAACGAGCCTGTGGTGAAACAGTAGAATCAGGCACCCCGGACAAGCTCTGGTTCCCCAAGCGTACCTTAGGGCTACAGTTCTAAGATGTGGTGTTCTAACTTGGCCAACTAAGTATGAAAACTAAACCGTAAATGATAAGTTTAAACTTTATGCCACGACCTTGTAAATAATTTGACTTTTGACCTTCTATGAAGCATTTGGCACAGACATAGAAGCGCAGGGGGAGTAGATATAGTTGCTCCATAGTCAAGCAGTTCTGATGAGTATAACTGTTTTTGTGAATTATTATTGGAGGTACAGTAGAAGAGAACACGAGTCATATCCTGGGATCTACTGGTTGGGCCGTCGGGCCACTGGCATTTATTGACTCGAATTCGGACCTCGTATTCCGTATAATTAATGTGTACTTCAAGCAGCATATAAACTTGAAATGACGGCGTTTGGTTCGAAAGTTTCGCCAAGATGCGCAAAGGACACCGGAGTATCCATTTGTGGTCTAGTGGCCGTCGTCAACTGGCCGGACATCTGTTTGTGGAGACCTGTGGAGAGAAACTGCATAAAATTGTCCGCTGATCTTAAAGGTCCAACATACGAATTATGGTTAACTTCTTGTCTGTTATCAACGAAAATAATATGCATGATCAGGGATGACTCGTGTTCAACGATATGGCTTGATCTGTCGTCTGGTCTACGATCAGATTAATCTGGAAAACAATGCGGTCTCGTCACTCATAGGCCTTTTGCTACTTCACGCATGCCCCGTTGGTAAACATTCGAACAGAATAACTGTACGCTGAGGTACAAGGGCAAGGAAAAACGTTTAAGCAAAAATGGCAGTTGTATGCAATTTCTTAAATTTAAGTTTTGTTTTGACAACTTAATGACAGGAGTATAAAGAAAATTACTAGTACTTAAAGGATACCTTGATATGAAGCGATCAGATGACACAAACTACATTTAGGTGTACATAGAGAGCTTTATAAAGTACTAACTAGCCAGACACAGACAGCCGCCTCACGGTCGTAAAAGATGGTCAGTAGGTCATACATAATGCTTGTATCTTATTGTGTTAGGTATAGTAATATTTTGAATATCCGCATGACTGTCATTGTTGTGGTTGAAATTACGTTCGAGAACACTTAACAATTCACAACTTCAGCGATAAAATCACCGCTAATGCGGAAAACCCCCTTCTATTCTGCTCAATCATAATATACGTTTTTAGCAGGCATCGATCACAAGTCTTGTCGTCTGCGGGCAAAGCGTTTCACAACAGTTCTGCCTTTAGACGTGTTAACGAGGGCCTTATCCGGAAAACGTCGTCACGTTCGCACGACTGGAGACGAACCGCTCCTTTGTCGTCTAGGAAATCTACTGTTCGACCCGATATTTTTTCTTCATTAAACGCGAGGCTTAGAGAAGGAAATGCCTCCAAATTGCAAGAGATATTTACTACTAAGTGCATATTTCAAAACCGAGACTGCCTAGTCCCTTGTCTTCTATGGTTTTCCAGCCGCATGAATACAGTTTGCGTAGGCTTATGTGGCCTGGGAACAAACCTTTTGATGTTTGAAACATGCTCTATTGGGTATGCATCCCATCAAGAACTGATCGGAGAGCATCAATAAATTTGAGGATTTTTAACGGGGCTATTAATCATGCAAGCGTTTTGACCCTACTTGCAATTAAGCGTTTTCCAAAAAATCAATTATTATTTCCTAAAGTAACGTATTTTTGTCCATGGCTTCTTAGGAAACTTTATTTTTGTACATGTCTTCCATATATTCTGCTTGACCTTGTGCGGACAATAAAAACTTCCAAAGAAATGTGCACTTTATAGGTAAGGATTGGTTTTCAAGAGGACTTTAAGCAGGTGAGACGAAGGACGTTCAGTCAATGCCAATATGCTATCCTGTGCAAATACGTATGAGAATATATTTCACACCGGTAGTTTTTTTCCATCTTACCTAGGTACTCCTGTTACCAAAATATTTGATTACAACTTAAAGACTTTGAAGACATCTGTATTATTTCTGTTTGCACTGCGTTGTAAAATTTCTATACATCCTGCTACAGTTGTCGACGCTGATATAGCTTACCTGAGGGTCCATGTTTCACTCAAATAAACCAGAACTCCTACAGTGATAACTATATAAAACTCAAGCGTCTGCTTTACTGGTGTAAATTGCTGAAGAATAAAGTTCATATACTAGCTTCTGCCGATTAATTTTGAACCCGACCTGCAGTTAAACTTCTATTCAGGTTTCTCAAACTACATGTCGCATAAATGCCACCTCATGAAAATTGTACATTTCCCTACGCTATGAGCAAGACCTCACAAAGTGTTCATTAATAATTTTCAATGGATGTGCACCACTTATCATACTTCAGAAGCAACACAAATAAATGGGCGGATACGATTAATTTCTTCACGTTCTCTAATAATCACATAATTAGCCTTACCCTAGAAGGTCGTGAAACGTTCCATCAAATTAGTACTAAAAACAATATTTTGTGACGGTTTTCTGAAAAACATATGAATTGCTAAAATCGATAAGAGAAATGCATGCCTATTGCGCAGTCATTTGCTAAAGCGCGTTTGACATATGGCCGAATAGAAGCCTTCTTAAGTGCAGGAACCACAGTCAATCCCTAGTAAAGGGATTTTTTGAATTTGGTAAGCATTTAACGAAACGGTAAATGTACGATACCCTGCTCTCTAAAACGATGGCACGTATAGATGAAAGGGAAAATTCCCTTTCCTTTCAATAAAGTTTTGAGTGAAAGGTAGGCAATGCTAAACAATATCGGCAGCTTTTATTTTGCATTTTCCATTAAGGGCTCGAACTAATTAGCTTAATTAATTGGCCCCTCTGTATCAAGAGTGCTTACAACTTCACTAAACCAGAATCAACTTTTAACTAGGTAGACAGTCGGTGATTAACATATAACGATCGTTCGCTCAAAGTCGCCCTCTGTAGTTGCTACTGCTTTAATTATAGTGATTGCTGGCCCACTGGGGATAAGTTCAGAACAAGTGAGTATGCAGAGTAGCATATTAGAGAAGCCATGCTAAGGTTGCAAAGACCAAAGGCGTTGGGCGGAAATTTGCTTTACCCAAGTACGGACCAGGTCGAAGTGATTTATGTCTTCTGAGTGTGATAATTCACGCCAAGAGTTCACTGACTTTGCAGCATGCATACTTTTCGGTCAAAAGGTGTCGATGACGCACGATTTGACTTGATGGTTCGGTTAAAGTACCCGGTATGAAAAAATATATACTTCCGCAAAATTCCCTGAATCTCCAATTTCATCAATAATGAGCGCGATTAGATGTGAGATAGATAAGCTTATCAGGCGCCTACTCGTATTCTCATATTTTGGTGATCAGACGCTTGTGTCGGTCTCCCATTAAAGAGATTATTTCACTTCCAAATTTCGTAGGTATTTCCAAATGTCAAAAAAGAAAATCTGGTGATTGAACTTGTGCATATACGGTAGATGCTGCGAGCATTTATTTCTTGGGCTGTGCTCACCGTATCTTCGATTTTGGCTCCGTTTCGGACGGGTTGGATAAATATCGTATTCAATTAAATCCACTTGAATTGCTTGCATCTTTACTGACACACCGTATTGGCTTCTTCACCTACAGGGTGTTTCCTATCCTGCTTGTCACGGAATATGGCGATACTGGGCTCCGCCGATTGAACGCTCCCGTCTGGCGACGATCGCCTTCTGTGGTAAGTTCGAAAATCACGTTCATTTGTTTCGCCAAAAACTTGAGGAATCGGGCACGAAAGAGGTGTTTACCTTATTCGAAAGAAACGTTACGCGCATCTGAAAGAATGAAATGTTTTCGTTCGTTTTTCTGCTCATTATTAATGTATGCGTGCGCTCTATGCCTCACGGAAGCCCAGCGATTTACTTACTTGCTAGCCTGAAGGTTGCTGATTTTGGACTTCGCGGAATCTACCGAGGTCCTGCTTACTCCTTCAAATGTGTTGCTTTTTATTACAAACGAATAAGTAAGGTGGTTGAGTTACGGTTAACCAAATACTGAAAAACAATCGAACCTAGGTGAACGCTGCAGGCCAAATGGCTGTACAGCTCACAAAGAGTACTGAAAAATGACTTTCAATACGAACATGGAGACACTTAGCATCGTGTAGATGACTGGCCACCGTTTTTCTGGCAATGAGAAACGTTCTAAGGAGTAATTGATTATTTCTAACATTTTACATTATCCTTTCTAGGCATATCTCACGTTGAAATATGATTATGAAAGCTAACAGGCCCTCGGAGTTGACTTGCAGTTTAATTTGACACAAGTTCCTTCGGTTGGCTGATACTTTGTATCTTTTCCCTTAATATGGATTTAAAAAGAGGTTATTGGGCAAGTTGAAGGTTTACTGGTGAAGAACAGAAGGACTGGAATAGACTACAGCCTAGGTAACTCCACCAGCCAACCACACACAACCTCAGACCGGAAGGAATTGTGTTTTAGTCTGAACTCACAAACAGGAAACGGGCAGCCGTATTCTATCTTGCATTAACAAAACGTGAGTGAACATCACTCTTGCGTGCTTTTCAATACAGAGGGGATGTCGGCCTGCCAGAGCGAAAAAAAACACTTTATTCATCCGGATTGAAACTGCACGTTTGCCCGTTTCCATGTGACTTTATTAAACTAACAGAATTGACTTTACCAGGTGTTTAAAATCTTAAACGCAAGGTTGCATGAGCATCAGCTAGCAATCAACCACCAGAATGAGCTGTCTGTGGTATATGACCACATACAACAGAATAAGCACGCTTTCGTCTCTGACAAAGCAAGGTTAGTAGGCCGAACCAATTATAAGATGGCCAGACTTCTGCTAGAAAGTTGGTCCTCGACAGGCATACTTAACAGAACCATAGATCTTCATCCCGGCTACCAGACGGTACACACACGGCTCAAGTCTGTTCAGGCAAGAACAACAGGATGGCGAAGCAAGCTCAAACGTAGAATGCAACTGAGGTCAGAGGAAAATAGGAGCAGTGGATGCCAGGAACCACGCGACTGGCGAGGAACATCACTTTACCGCCGAGCCCATGAGATTGACATCAACTCATGCGGGCAGCAACAACTGAACAGTCCGTCGGCCGATGAAGGGCGGCCCAGTAAGCACGTTGACTTGCCAACAAGTACGATAGACGCAAAGGGGACAAAGGTCACCCGAGCCCACCAGCGGTCAATCGCACGGCCAACCAGCAGTGAAGAGGCAGGTCAAAGTTCGTGCGTCGGGCACGGATCTAACAACAGGCATGCGGCAAGGCTGAAACAGTCACGGCAAACAGGTCTATGGAACCGAGCGAGTGTCGGAAACGTCAGTGTTAAGGTTATTTGATCGACGTCCTCGTAAATTCTTCCTCGTCTTCTTTGGGAGATTAGAAAAACGAAAAATGTCTCTGTATGAATGCTTTTTATATCCAGTAATTTAAGGTAAGGGTGATGTTTTCTGGTTTTACTTAAGGTTCCTACGCCGGCGCTGTTATAAGCTTGTTCATGTCGGGGATTCTAACAGAAAAGTTCGGCTGGCATTTTCCATTCTACCTCTACGGTAAGTTCAACTTTTTTTAACTCCGTCTTTCCGGTCTGTACTTTTTGTGATACATGAACTAAAATTATTGAACCACACAAGCATAAGAAGCAAATGTAGCCCTACAGAGTAAGTGCCATGAACAAAAATGCCCCTTGCTTCATCCGTATTCTGTGATGACTGAACGTGTGTTATATTGAGGTCAAGGCTTCTCAACCCAGTGCGTGCGTCCACATTTCGAGGAAAAAAACTATCCGGGTTATTAATCTTGCAATAAAACTGAAGAGTTCACCGTTGTGAATCTCTGGATGGCTAATTCAAAAGCGTTCGCCTTACTAACAAAATTATATCTGTGTAACAATAGGCCTCCCAATAAAATCCGCCAATGATTGGCACACTTTCAGAACTCCCAATGCTCAAGGGAGAGGCCTAATGATCGTTTCTTCTAGTACGTTGCTCAGTAAACTATGTTTTGAATTCCCTGCAGGCGTCGTTGGATTAATTTGGCTGTGCTTCTGGTGGCGCACGTCCTACGAGAAGCCCGCCACCCACCCCAAGATCACGCCGGAGGAGAGGGAGTACATTGAGATGTCCATCGGGGAGGTGCATGTCCCTCCCGAGTTGGTAGGTTGCGAATTCTTCATAAACTGTACTTTATGAAAATAAGCCGCAAGACAGGACTGGAGCAGTGAGTCCCGTAAACAAGCGCTGAGCGTCTATCCACCAGTATTAATGTTCCCGATCAAAACCGGCAAGACAATGAGCCCGTGGCGCAGTGATTTAGACCGTTAAGTGTCCAATCAACAGGTCGCGGGTTCACGCCTCGGGTGGGGCACAAGTTCGGGTTGGGTATGACTGACTGGTGACGGCTAATGAGCCCGAAATGGCCATTCCAGTCTCGATTTTCTTTGCGGTTAGTGTTCTTCTATCTATGATAGTAGCCGCTGTGCGGCTAGTGGTGGGCCTCTTGGGTGAAGCCCACGACAGTAAGGAACGATCGGTGAGCGTCGGTCTACCAAACTGCACTGGCAGACGTTATATCTTTTGTCTGCTAAGATGTGTTTCTATTTATAAGGGCTGTGTGTTAGTTTTTGTGTTTGGACCACACAATAGTTAAATTCGCGGACTTTGGATGAAAATTAGTTTATGATGATCTAAGATCACACCCGGAGGGAAAACGGTTAGCCAGGAGGTTACCGGTTTCAGTATCCAGTGTGACAGATTTTCCGGATGCTTGACTTCAAATGTTTGCATTGAACGCGGTTTTCGGATGAATTGCAATGGATAACTGTTTATCTTTTCCGTTTTCGGTATTCAGAGTGCTTTTATGGTTCTTTCTCCACAAGGAGACAGGGTTGACTCTGGGCGCGCGTTTATTAGGATGCTCTATGTCCCAATAAGCCAATACTTTCTATCGTATGTATGCTGACACGCCTAGACGTAGCCATTTGCGCAATGCCAGCCGCTGCGCCTAGGCCCACCACCATTTTCAGGGCAGGTATTGATCTTGATCGGTGCATGGAGGAGTAAAGTGTGAATGAGGCTGACAATAGGAACTCCATTCCCACGACACATCAGCGCCTTGTACACTATAATCAACCAGAAGCACCTTAAACCATCAGGAGGCACTAAGAGTCGTGCCTCAGGAGGTCGCTTACTGATAGGGTATTTCGATCTCCATGAGGCAGTGGTCATTCTGTTGACCTGAAATAGATTTCTG